ATGATATTATCGTGGATACAACACACTAAAGAATTAACCAAATTTGCTCGACGTAAAGGCAATTAAGAAAGCTACATAAGTGAAGATATAACCTATAAAAAAGTGGACTAATCCAACCAATCTTGCTTGTACAATGGAAATAGCTATTACTTTATCTCTCTATTGAATCAAATTAGCCAAGGGTGTACGTTAATGAGCCCATGCTAAAGTTTTAATCAATTCCTACCAATATTCACGATAGAAAATTAAGAACATAAATCCAGTAGCCCAAACAAGATGTTCCAATAAGAACATCCATGCCCAGACCGATTAACTATTCATCCCAAAGGGTTTATACCCATTGATATGTTATGAATAGTTTAACCATAAATAATCTCCTAACCATCCCATCAAATAAATAGAAGATTTATTAAATTGTGAAAAGTTACCCTATCATCATGCTTTGTGCTTCTAATGCCAATAAAAAGTAACCCATCCAATGATATTTAACATCCAGAAAACCGCTAAATAAAATGCTTCCCAAGCTGAAATATCACAAGTACTGTCTCATCTAAGACCATCACAAGAAAAACTATAACCAAAATTCTTTTTATCTGGCATTAACTTAGAACCACATGCATTTAAAACACCTTTTACTAAGATGAATGTAGTTGTATGTAAACCTAGAACAATAATATAATGAACCAAGAAGTCTTCAAGCTCTGTTGTTAAGAATAATGAATTACTATTTTTATTAATAACATTTATTAACCAGTCGGGCAACCATATGCTTTGACCTATATTAAAGGCTGGAATATGTGCTTCTAAGAGATCTTTTATACTGTGCCCAATCTCGAAGTTAGTCCTATACATATGACCTGTTATCAGGAAAAGAAATGCAATAACTAAATAATGATGTGCAATATCGGTGAGCCATAAACTTTATGTTTGTGGATGGAGCCCCCCAAGAAGGGTTAGAACGAAAGTTCCTACTCTTTGGGAGGTACCAAATAAATGACTACTTAAATTAGGATTTTGAGCATAAAGATTCCACTAACATGTAAAAAACGGGCCTAACTTTTGGGGATGCAATAATACATCTAAGAAATTATTCCATCAAACAGATTCCCCCTGGAGCCAGGAATAGCAATATGACTAAATGTCTTATCCAAGCTATGGAACTTACTCCAAATAATCCTGACAAATAGTGGTTGAGACGAGATTTGGCATTTTTGAACCACAAAATGCTAGGTTTCCATTTCGGTTGTAGGTGTAACCAACCCCCTAGCAGGGATACGACTAAAAGAAATAATAGAAAAAAAGTTTCAATATAAAGATCTTTATTAGTACGTAAACCTATTGTATACCACCATCGATAAACACCAGAATAAGCGATATTTGCTGGGTCACGAGCACCCCCTCAAGTAAAAGCTTCCACGACCAGTTGGCCAAAATAAGGATCCCAAATTGCATGAGCAATAGGTCTTACATGCAAAGGGTCTTATACCCATGTTTCAAAATTTCCTTGCCAAGCTATATGAAACATATTTCTAGAAGTCCACAGAAAAATTATTGTTAATTGCTAGAAGTGAGAAGCAAAAATATTTTGATAAAAACATTCCTTAGTAATATCATCATGACTCTCGAAGTCATGTGCGATAGCAATACCAAACCAAAGACAATAAGTAGTAGGGTCCTAAGCTAAGTCTCAGCTAAATCTTGGAAATCTTAATGCCAAAATACCTTTCAAATCCTTATAGCCATTATCCTACTACAATCATTCTTGCTAAGAAGAATGCCCATATTGTGGCAATTCCACCCAGAAGATAATGAGTTACTCCTATAACATGTCCTTGCATAATGCTTAAGGCTCTATGCTGAGTAGCAGGAGCAACTTTAAATTTATTATGAGCCCAAACGATCGATTCAATAAGTTCTTGCCAATAACCATAATCGCTGAATAAAAACATTAAACTAAAAGCCTATACAAAGTGAGCGCCTAGGAAAAAAAAGGCTATGTGCAGATAATAAAGAACCACATAACTGAATTACCTAGGATGCTTGTGCCCATAAAAAAACAGGGACCATTTGTTAATAGTAAAAAAACTCTGTGCAAAATTTCCTCTCGTGATATGAGTTACCACCCCTTGATCCCTTGTGCTATCCTAAACATCTGATTGCATTTTCCAACTTAAATGAAATATTACTATAGAAATTGCATCATACATCCAAAAAAGTCCTAAGAAGTCTTGGTCCCAAGCGGATACTTGACATGTCCCCCCTCTTCTAGGTCCATTACAAGGGAAACAAAAACCAAGATTTGCTTTATCTGGTACCAAACAAGAGCTATGAGCAAATAGAACTCCTTTCAGAAGTATCAATATCATCACATGAATCGTAAATACATGAATGTGATGGACAAAAAAATCCATAGTTCCTAATGGAATAGGTAACAAAGCAAACTTACCCTTTACTGCCATTAAGTCATCGCCAACAAGTCAAATTGGTGCTTATTGTTGCACCAGGTGCTAAGGCATGTGTGTTTTGTATCCATTAAGTAAAGATGGGTTGTAATTGTATATCAGTATCTGAAAACATATCTTAAGGGCGTTCTAAAACGCTCATAGTATCATTATGAATATGCAAACCAAAATTGTGAAAGCCTAAAAATATACATACCCAATTAAGATGTGATATGATTGCATCACAATATCTAAGGACATGATCTAATAGATTATTGTATCAAGTAGTCTTCTCTTACCATAAAAATAGCTACATGCACAACAACACCAACCATGAGAAATCCATCAATTCATATGTGATATGTGAACAATAACAATTATGTACCATAGTTTATAGTTAGATATGGATAAAGAGGCATGACATATAAATGGTGAGTTACAAAAATGGTTAAAAAGCCTAACATAGCTAGGTTAAGAGATAATTAAGTATGTCATGAAGTTGTTAGGATCTCATATAGACCTTGTTAATTTTTAGGGTTTGCTTTCTATTAAGTTGGTTTTTGGCTCATGACCATAGTAACGAGTTTTAAATATTACAAGAGTTAACTTTAATTTTTATAGGTTCTTTATTAAATTTAATTTTTTATAATCTTATCTTTTAATATTTGATTTGTTGGGAATTGATCTTCATATTTTTGTTTTTGTAAAAATTATTTTTCTTTTTATTTTTGCCCTCCAGTATTGGTTTGTTTGATAATTGAGCTTCATTAATTTATTTAATTAGCTTTTGATGATCTTACCTTAATATTATGATTAAGTGACAAATTTAGCATGCTGGCATAGATGAGCTCGAGTTGGGTTTTTTACTCTTTTTTCTTTGCATGATTTTTTTGATCAATTTCTTTATTGTTTTTGCATTTTTTTTATTAAGTTTATTGAAATTATACAAGTGTATTAATTCCAACCAAGTTAATGACCTAATTCTCAATTTTTTTTCTTTTTTAAAAATGTTTATGTCTCAAACTGCCTATCTAATATATGTCAATGATGATATTGTTTGAGTGATTTAGGAAAGTAGAAACATATATGTAAAGGAACCGGAAATCCTATCAACTTTTATGGTGAGCATCAATAAGTAACCGAGTCTAATTTAAATAGATGAAGTTTGAAGTGATGTGTCTTATTCTATAATAATGAAATATTTTCTCTTTTAATGTGTTCTTGATATTATTATGCAAGTTATTCTTTAAAAGTATTTTTAATTTGAAAAAATATTAAAATAATTTTTATTTATTTTTAACATCTTCATATTAAAATTATCAAAAAACACACAAAAAAAATCAATTTGATGCATTTTTAATCAAATATATTTATGAAACACACCTAGATATAATTTAAAACGAAAAACAATTCATCTTTTAGAGCCTGTTTGATATTACGATAATGATTGCTTTTTAAAATGATTTTTACTTGAAAATATATCAAAATAATATATTTTTTATTTTTTAAAATTTATTTTTGATATTATAATATAAAAAAATAAAAAAATTAATTTGATTTTTTTAAAAAAATAGTTTCTACTACAAATACAATTAGGCTACTAGGTTAGTGAAATTGGCTGGAGGGACCGAGGATGAGACAAGTCTTTTTGTATTTTTGTCTGATGAGATTTTTTCCCCTCTTCTTAAACTTAACTGCGCTAATTAAGTCTCACCTTTGGGGTGTTTATTTTATTTTTAATTATTATTAGTGTACTTTTTAATGTCATGCATGTTATATAATAATTCCTCAACGAGTTCTTTTTTTTTTAATTCTTGTTAAATGATTAATCCTACATTTTACATTTTAAGACTAAACATGTTTTTTCTATTTTTTTTTAGTGGGATATGAGTAGCACATTGGAAAATGTTTAGAGAACTGATGTTTTGCCTATTTTGAAAGAACTCTACTGTGTGGAATTGGAAATCTTTTAATTTCCCCCCAGGAGATAAACATTTAGTGGCACAGACTCAGGCATCCATAATGGTGGCACTAGGATATTGTGCGCGCGCGCGGGGCCGTAAGGCTACTGCAACGCTGCCCTTGTTTTTTTTATCTCTTTTTTTTTGAGAAACGAAATGGTGAGCTATTAGTTTTGATTTTCAACAATGTATACAATTATGTATTCCTATTTAATTCGAAGCAATAAATGATTTTGTTTAATTTACCTTTTTCTCCGTGGATTGCACGATATAATGGACCGCATTGTTTCATGAATTCTTTTCTTTTCTTTTTGGGTTTTGCCGCTTCAATAAATCTCACTACGAAAGTTGAAAACCAGCAGAGTTTTAGATATTAAAACTTGACCAATTCACTAGGACTCCGGTCTTCGGCATCACTTCCTATGCAAATGCATTTCATTCCCAAAGAGTTGCGTTCCAATGCCAGGAGTCACTTGCATTTCTCTTCATTCCTCAAATGTAATGCCAAGCCCTGCGCAGCTCCTCAAAGCCCTCTCCTACGCTGCTTTCTTCAATCTGTTGCCTTCTCATCACACAAGCTGTGCACATGCTTTAAAACATGGCTGGAATTGGTAGTCTTGTTGATCTATTACTTTTCTACACACTCGAGAGAATTCTTTACAATAGAATGGTATGCTCACTGGGCCAAAACTCCCAGCAAGTCAAGAAAGCAATTGCCCTCTGGCTAATGCTCGAGGAAATTGGCTACCATGATCTAATCCGGACCATAAACTCCTTTGATAACGCCACCATTGAATCCTTATTTTATGAGGCATTGCAGTGCTTATTATGCATACACCCGAATTCGGCTCAACCATTTGAATCTGATGAAACTCCAATTTTTACAGGCCTTTTTGACGAGCCTATGAACCCGAGGTTCTTTTACTACAACAGAGAATTTATGTACAAGCGCTACATGCACATCATGGAGACGGTTTGTGATCAAATCTTTGGTGAGACCAAGGCTGTAGAAGTTGACGAGTCAAGTTTGAGGCCAGCAGTTAACCCCTTTGGAGAAGGGTCTAGTACTGGTCATGAAGGCGTAGCAATGCATGCTGCAGGGACTTCTAGTAGGGCTAGTGGTCAAGTAATTGGTGAGACATCAAGGCAATCAAGCTTGAATCCTGATGCCAGTGAATTTAATCCTGGACAGACCCCTGAAGATTCTCGGACAATGTTCCTAACATTCTCATTGGGTCACCCTCTAAGCCGCGATGAAATTATTGATTTCTTTACATCGTATGTGAATGTTAAACAGTTTAATTAGCAATTCACACGTATCCATTCCAGTTCACTCTGTCTATTCACTCCAATTTTGTTTGTTTTTTCAGGAACTGTGGGGAAGTAGTACAGAATGTTTTCATTGAAAGTACTCGACCAGGCAAGGATCCACAGTTTGGACGAATTGTGTTCACTAATTCCTTGGTTATACCAAGAATACTTAATGGACAAACAAAAGCCAAATTCATGGTGAATCGTAAGCATCTATGGGCTCGTATTTATGTGCCTCGTCGCAGACGTAGCAGCTAGCTTAGTAAATGATGGAGTAGAAAACATTACAGATGATTTAATTAGAAGTTTATAGCAGTAAAAAACCTAACATTACTTCTTGTTAGTGCTTCTGTTTGAACCACACATGGTTGCAGAATATAGCTGGTTGCTATCTTAGTTAAAATTTTCCTGTAATTAATGTAGGAGTACACTTTCAATCACTTTTTGTCCCGTCTGAAATATTTTAATAATATTCTTAGGCATCTCCATTCTGCATTCTAATTTCTATATGCTCCTACAGTTTTTGGAGATGGCTACGGTTTGTGGTCGAAGGAAAATGGAAGAGTACAACGCTAATGATATGTGATTATTATATATCATTATATCCTGTAATGTTGTCACTGAATTTGTAAACGAACAAGTGAAATTTCTGTATGGAATTTGTTTAGGAATGTGCTCCCGAAAAATAATTTCTTAAATGATGTCACTGCATAACTTGCAGCTAATGCCTGTAGCGGATAAAAAAACAATGGAGCTGGAACCTTGATCGAAGAAAACTTATCAGGTGTGAATGTTCCGGTGGATAGCCTGAGCTGAAGAAAATTCAACCTCCAGAACAAACTGAACGGAGTTTACATCTCATGTTGTTAAAGTCAGAGAAAGGTCATTAACACTGAACCAAGTCTAATACGATAGTGTGTGTGAAGCAATACTGTCATGTAAACTAAAGCAAGCCAGAAAACCATCATTAACTCAGAGGGGGAATAGGGCTTCAACAGAGTTTTTGAACCAACAAAACTAAAACCATCAGAAAACAGTTAGGAGGAGAACGAAAACCCAGGTGGTGATATCATGGTTCAAATCCAAAGTATGATTTTATGATCAAGATGCTCCATGTTTGGCTGAAGCATCTGCTGTGATATTTGCCTGCCCTCAGTGTATGAGCAAGTCTGATCAAATGAAAAAAAAAAGATTTTCTGGTAGCAATGACAGGAACTAACATTTCTTGTTGGGAAATTCCGACCGGTGATGATCTGATACTTGCTCATAGGAGAGCCAAGCACACTGACACAATATTTAATGTGGTTCGGCAAAAGCCAAGCACACTGACACAATATTTAACGTGGTTCGGCAAAACCGCCTACATCCACGGGAGAAGTCAATATATTTAGAGATAGAGAAAGAATACAAAACAAATACATGGAGGAGGAGGATTACACCCTCTCATACTCAACTCTCAACTCTCTTTGCTGCACTTGCAGCTGCTGCAATGGCAGCAAGGCTGCTGCCATTGCAGCTCTCTCTTCCTCTCTACTCTCTTCACATTTTCATAATTCTCTTCACTCATTTTGCTCTCTTGCATATGCCTCTATTTATAGGCATTCATGGAGGCTTTTCTTCAACAAAGGTGGCTGCCAACTCTTCTTCAACAATGATGGCTGCCAACCTTTGACATCTTGGATGAGTGCACATGGTTGGTGCAATAGCAAATGGTTGTTGCACATTAATGGCAACCAACCTAACAATCACCCCATTTGCCATTCATATGGGGCAACTGTCCTCGTTCTTCTTCAACACAAGCTTGCATCTTGCAGCTCTTCCAAGCTTTCCATTTTGAGAGCTTTTGTAGCCAAGTTTACAGGTACTTGCCAAACCTTTCAATCATCAGAGTGACCTAAGCACACCTTTTCTCACACAAAAGGATCACTATAACCAGATAGTCTGCCACATCACATCTGAATAGTGTTAACGCTTGTCTCTGGAACAACATTCCCCTTCGAGCGTATCAACCACGCTCAGTCCGGAATGATTCCTCAAGCCTCATATCAAGGCTTACAACACCCCCTCAAACGGATATTTTAAGTGCGACAGTCATTATCTGAGTATCTCAATATGATCACAAGCTCATCACTCTTCCAAGAGTCTACTCATCCAGGAGTTGCGTCTGCCCTCTGTTCCACCCTAGGAACCACGCCTTACTTCTCCATGAGTCTCTCGCTCTTAGTCTCAAGAGTCCAGGTAGCTTTCCACCTTTAACCATGGGGGCAACCCATAAAAGGTTGATCCATATCTGTCTTCATACTCTAAGTATTACAATGCCATTACCGAGCTCACCACCTTGACAAGAGTCAACTTGTTCCCGGAACCTGCGCAGGCCCTCTGCTCCTTCATAGCAGCCACGTCTTAATGCTCCACAAGTCATCCACTTATTGTCCAAGGCAAATGTCTTCTAGCTCATTGATCTTTAGCATGGGGGCAATATCCATGAAAGTCAATCCTGCATTTGTCTTCATACTCATCATAGCCCTTTTATTGGCTATCCATCTGTCCACTCATACCTAGCCATCACATTGGCTCTGGGGCGTTCTGAACTGGGCTCCTTCCACGGCCCTCACACCTTCTCCTGAGGTGTCTCCACTCGTCGTCATGCGGCGGTCTGATCATGAGCTCATCTCATAGCCCTCACACCTTCTCTTTAAGGTGTCTTCGCCTTTTATAGGCAGTCGCATCCTCCTTCAGCTAAGATGCTTCAAAGTGGCTCTATAAATTCTTTGCCACTAATTACATAGAAAGAGAAAGTTGCGGTATACTCCTCGCAATCCTCCACCTCAATTTCTATGTTTGGAGCTTCTACGCCTTTTCTGCTTAACAGCTCCACCCGCACCAACTCCGTTTGGTGTCTTCGCCTTTCATCATAGGCGGTCGCCTTTTATCACAGGCGTTTGCACCCCCTCAATTAGGTGCATCTGCAACAGCTCATCCTTTCATCCTTGCATGCATTGAAAGGTCCTCGCTTGTTGCCTTTATCAAGAGCACAAGAGACTTTTTGTTGTACAACTTTTTCATAGTCTCTGCTCTGAGCTTCATCTGAGAACTCTTCTTCTGCTTGCACCTGTTGTCTCATTATAGTACCTTGTTGGATCCTCCGGGTACTCCTACACAATCTTCATGTGCTCTCGTGCAATTTTGGTTCTCCAGATTTCTCCATATTCCTTGCTTATATTTGACAGCAGCTCATCCTGTCACAACATCTATCCAAGTTAAAATAGGATGCCAATCTTTATCCCTTTGCTGTATTTCTCTTCCATTATCAGGGTCTTCATCAATTCTCCCCTCGAGAAATTATAGTCACCGAATCTAACTTTCTTGGAGAAATCACCACTCCATCAAATCCTTGATCATACGGAACCCAACTGTTCCTTTATGCCGTCATCCTGCTAGTCTTCAACAGTTTCACAACAAACTGTCACATATACGAAAATAGTACCGTATGGATAATCCTTCCACTAAGAAAGTTCCCAGGAAAGATTGGAGGGGTCACAACGGTCCCGCTTAAAACCCAATCTCCTAGCCAGAACTTCTTAGGCCATATCTATCCATCGTATTGTCTTTTCGTATATACAACCATTTGCTAGCTTTGTTGCGACTTTCCTTTACAAGTGATCTGGGGTATCCTGGTTTTATACCTGATTTCTCAACATCTGGTGAGACTACCAGTGCTCAGATTCGTCAAGATTGGTCTTCATCAAATTTCACTCTCCACCTCAAATTGTCCACATGATCGGGTGTTTAGAGTGTCCCAATTTTGCCTTCCCTCAAGGCAATTAAAATTCCCCACATAATAGTTCAACATATGTAATTGGGCAAACATGTGTGATTTCTTCTTCTTCATCTCCATCGACCACCATGATGACCATCAGATGCCTCCTAATCGGGCAATCTCTCTTTAATAATTCATCACTGCCTTTTATGATCTCAATCTCAACGATCGAACCGTACCATTGCATCCGGAATGATCAAATTAGCTGGAAACAAGTCTAAAATCATCCAAATCGCACTTCAGACGGCTAAGATTTGATCAAAACAATTCTGGCCTGGTAAACGGCCCAGATTCAATCTCAGAACCGGTTGCACGTAGACTCTGCCACATAGGATCAAAATCCAGGGAGCTGACATGGCTGTAATGACGTGTCATCCACGTAGGACATATATGTCAACCAAATATGACGTGGCAGTTTGATTGGTCAGAGTGCTGATGTGCCAGGTGACGTGCCTGATGACATTGCAGAACTGCTGACATGTCTAATGGCGTGGCAGTTTGACTGGTCAGAGTGCTGATATGTCAGGTGACGTGTCTGATGACTGTGCAGAACTGCTGACGTGGCTGATGACGTGGACAGTCACCCCGCCGGCGCGTGCGATGGTTTCCGACGTTCGATTTCGACGCGGTTTTCACCAGTGGCTTCGTCTCTTCCTCCTCTACACAGTGGTATGGTCAAAACACAATTTTGACAACTTTCATTTTTAAGGAAAATCAAACACCACTTTAAACCGAACGCTCTGATACCAATTGTTGGGAAATTCCGACCGGTGATGATCTGATACTTGCTCATAGGAGAGCCAAGCACACTGACACAATATTTAACGTGGTTCGGCAAAACCGCCTACATCCACGGGAGAAGTCAATATATTTAGAGATAGAGAAAGAATACAAAATAAATACATGGAGGAGGAGGATTACACCCTCTCATACTCAACTCTCAACTCTCTTTGCTGCACTTGCAGCTGCTGCAATAGCAGCAAGGCTGCTGCCATTGCAGCTCTCTCTTCCTCTCTACTCTCTTCACATTTTCATAATTCTCTTCACTCATTTTGCTCTCTTGCATATGCCTCTATTTATAGGCATTCATGGAGGCTTTTCTTCAACAAAGGTGGCTGCCAACTCTTCTTCAATAATGGTGGTTGTCAACCTTTGACATCTTGGATGAGTGCACATGGTTGGTGCAATAGCAAATAGTTGTTGCACATTAATGACAACCAACCTAACAACATTTCTAGTCGGGAAATCGAGATCCCCAGGAACCTTTGTTATCAACTAACTGCCGAAGAATAACATGTAATTTGGCTAATGGAGTTTAGGCAAGGGCAGCATCAAGGAGGCTGGATGGCAACTGGCATTGGACTTCTGCTAGATCTAAGGATATGGTGCGGTTTGTGTTAAGATTTCCCATGGTCAACATCACAAAGACTCAGTTATTTTGAGTTGTCAAAATAAATAAATAAATAAGAACAAAGAAAGGGACAAAAATTTAGTAATTCAACGCTGGATGAAAGTGAGTTCTCTAGAATTTACGATAGGTACTTGCAACGATGTGGGAAACAGAGTTCAATTATCACGACAAGTCGTTTTTGCAGCCATTACGGTCCATTTGCTATGGTTGCACATTCAATAAATTTAAATAGAAAATGGGCTGACACCATGAATGCCGTTATTATTTCATCTTGCCATTTGTTTATCAATTATTTATATTTTTAGAAGGTTCATTTTATTTATAGTATGATTTTACTTAGGTTGAGATTTTAATT